TCTCTTACAGTATGTTTCCAAATTTTGACTTGAAGGAAATTTAAACCATAAAATCACACCATAAATATATACAAGCACACAAAAGAAACATTTATCTCTTTAGTGAATATGAATAAAAAACTTACAAAGGTGTTTTAATTGTACTAACAAATTATAAATGATGCAATACCAAATATTTAACTTGGCTACAAACTGTACAGTTCCATTTTACTGCTACTATTCTCCACCTTTACTAATATTTTTTAAATATTACAAAGAAATGACAGTTGTATTGAATATCATGTTTAAACCAATTCTACAAAAGGTAAACAGATTAGCACTCAAAACAATCTTTATGAAAAATATTTATTCAATCTTCAAATTAAAATTATAAAAATTCATCATTTTACTGTTTTAGAAAAAAAAAGAAATAAACCTTCATTCTCCAAATGGAATAAAGTTATATTTTCCCTCCTCCCAACTACTTATAAGGGTGATAATAAATCCTTTTCATTTTAAAAACCCATGTTAATTTCAGGAACATTTCCAAAAATTGTTTTGGTGACAATATCTCAACAAAAAGCCTCTCTATTTATATTTAAAAGTTTCAAATAGTGTCAATAAACTGGCTAATACAAAAAAAAAAAAAAAGATATATACTGTATTTTTAGAAGCTTTTTGGATTGCAGTTTAGTAGTAAGCAGGCTGCTGGTGTATCTTGGAAGAGGTCAAATGGCGCTGGGGAAGGGGGAAAGGAGCTCGCTTTCCATTCCTGTGTGCATGCAACAAGCAGCAAAACAGCAAAGTTACTCCAGTTAGCTGGTACTCAGCTGTGCTTTCTGTTAAAGGACATAATACAATTGGAGAAGGGAAAATGCATCACAGATCTAAGACACATGGGTATTAGCACAGTAAGAACCAATTTCAAAATTTCAAAGCTCTTTACAAAAGAAAATATGCAATACAAGCAACAACCTAAAACTAGATTTTGTGTTTTTTTCCTTTTAATTTATACTATTGATACAATAGTATTGTTTGCTTCTGGAATCATCTTTATAATTTGCTACCTTCTATGGTAACCTAAAATTGTTTCTATGCAAATACTTAAACCTCAAAATCAAATAACAGGACTTCTTTATAAAAATACAACAATATAAAAATAGTTGACAAATTTTTTAATAAAATTCTTTTATTTAAGATGACAACAGGATAACCACAGGACAGTTTTTTAAGGCTGTGCTTTAAAGTTCCTGAATATTCCAAAGGCATATTAAAATAATTTTACAATACAAATTCACATATTTAAAATTTGAATACAAAAACAACAGTATGACTCTTTAGATCACATCAAATATTCCTTAAGATCAATAATAATCTAAAATGTTAAAAATTCTAAAAAAAATTAAGTACTTAGAATTTTTCTCAGTCTCCATTAACATTTTAAACAACAAAAAATTAACTTACTCTCTTCTACAAAGCCTTAATTAATTCATTTTATTTAAGATTTCAGTTTGACCCGACTCAAAGGCTACACTGCCAGCAGTACTAGTACACTAATAATCTATGGCTAAAATCCTCAGTATTATCCATATTTCCTCTTTATCTAAATTGCATAATATAATTTTGTTTGTATGGCCTCACAACCTACCTGTAAATATTATCACTAAATAATATTATGAATAGGTAAATTTCTTCAGTCTTAAAATCCATAAAATAACATGCCTTTAGTATGGCCACGAGAATGATTGAAAAATAAAATAATTTCTAGTTTTACCATAAAACAGCCTACCTGCCAGCAGAAGATCCATTTAATGAACTTTGAAGATTTGGGATATTTGAACCTAGTGAAGGACTTGGGTTTCCCTGCTGAGCACTCCCACTGACAGGGCTCCCGTTACCTTTCAAAATACCAGTACACTTCCAATTGTCCATATAATTAGCTGAAAGGGAAATGGTCAAATACATTAATACCTATGCTCAAGGGCACAAATCTATGTTCATGTCCTTAAACTACAGGCTACATGTCAGTCAGAATAAATGTTAAAGACATTTTAAAATACAAAACACTTATCTTAATTTTAATAATTATTTTTAAAGTCTTAAAAGAATTACTAATTTAACAAATAAATCTTTCACCTCCCATTTCCCTTCCTCGAAGATAATTCTCTAAGATGTCACATATTACAGTAAGTTAATATCAAGATAAATCATTTATCTTCATTATAACAAGTTTCAATTACATGTATATGTAGGATAATGGAACTGTCAAATGATTATGCAAGTATAAGTCAAATGGGTACCCAATGTCCTCAGAGATGGATGTAGGAAACAAAACCTTTGGGTTTGAGTGGCTTATCCAAAATGGCTTAATTCTTTGCATGCAAAATTGGTCACTGGAGACATTGAACCCAAGGAAACCCAAGTTAGGGAGCCTGCTGAAGTTAGTGGTCTCACTAAAGCCCAGAGGCAGAAAAGGGCATCAAAGCCTGTGAAATCAAATTAATCTTTTGAAAGAGAAGTCTGGGCTACTTCTACCACAGCCTAAAACTGACATAGCCAAACTGCATTTTTGGGAAACAATAACTGTTCAAGATAAATGAACTAACTTACAATTTTGGATCCAAGGTATGGGAAGACACTGACTAGAGTGGTGCACAAATCAAAGACACCTCTGCCCAGTGGATAAATTACTGTGCGAACGTGCACACCACACTACCGCAACCACAGAGTCAACTAATCAGACCACAGTCTCTCTCAGGTTGGCATTTGTAAGAAACCTTAGAATCAGTGGATCATTCTTGAACTTTTGGGAGTTGCAGGGTGGAAGTGAGGAACGTGTTGGATTTTCTCCTATTAATAGCTGATTGGCTAAAGCAATTATTTAATAAAGTAAGAGATGACTCTAATCCTATCCTGAATTTACACAAGTTACACATATAGCAAACAGTATTTTAGAGATACCGCATATTTCTGTGGCAGTTACTTTCAGTTTTAAAAGTTGCTTTGTTGCCCGACCCGTGTTGCTTAGTGCTTGAGCATCAACCAATGAAACAGATCACAGTTTGATTCCCAAATAGGACATATGCCCAGATGGTGGGTTAGATCCCCATGGGGGGTGTGCAGGAGGAAGTCAATCAATGACTCTCTTTCATCACTGATGTTTCTAAATCTCTCTCTCTCTCTCCCTCTTCCTCTCTGAAATCAATAAAATATCTATACTAATAAAAGGGTAATATGCTAATTAGGCCAGGAGAACTTCAGGACAAAGCCTCAGGGATTGGGTCTAAATTAGCAGTCGGACATCCCCCAAGGGGTCCCAGACTGGACAGGGTGCAGGCCAAGCTGAGGGACACCACCACACCGTGCACCCACTAGTCTACATATATATAAAAGCCTAAGTGACTGTTCAACTTATTGACCATTTGGTCACTATGATGTGCACCGACCACCAGGGGGCAGATGCTCAACGTAGAAGCTGATCTGTGGTGGTCAGTGCATTCCCATAGCAGAAGTGCTGCTCAGCTGACCTATGAGTGCCAGATGCAGGGTTCATGGCTGGCCGCCGCCGCAGCCCACAGACCGCAGCAGAGTGGCAGCGAGCCTACCAGGTGGCGGCAGCAGGTGTAGTGGGGCCGGGATGAGCAAAAGCGACAGGCAAGAGTGGCAGGCTGCACTGGACTGCCGGTTTTGGCTTGATCCCCGGAGGCCACGCTGAGGGACCCCACCAGTGCACGAATCTGTGCACCGGGCCTCTAGTACATATATAAAAAGTTGCTTTATTCCACACAGAGTCTTAAAAACAATTCAATTAGTCTTTAACTACTATGAACTAGGTAAAATGATAAAGGTTCAAAATAAATTATATAAGACATAATTTAAAAGTAGCTATGGAAAGATAATTTTTTTCAAAATACTTAGTTTACATTTCTAAGTGAAAATTCTAAAGCAGCAACATAAGGCAATAATTCTTATCAAAATCTTACCTTTCCATAATCTTACACAGCCATCATCCCCTGAAGATGCTAGCACTGTTCCTGTTATATTCCAACTCACTCGCCAAACCTGAGAATTATGATTATCAAACTGAGCCACTATATGGATTTCAAATTTTGTTGGTCCACCAGAGGAAGTAAGTTCTTTCCTGTTAACAAAAAAATTTCCTGAGTAATTCTGCAAACAGGTTCACACACACACACATACTCACACAAAAACACACCTATCTAAACAAAAAAATATATATAAATGGCCTCACCTACTTAACATATCCTATATAATATGCTAAGTGTCTGACCATTCGTTCAACTATTCCACCAGTTGCTATGATGTGCATTGACCACCAGGGGGTAGACACTCCTATCAGGTTAGCTTGATGCTGGAGTCCGACTGATTGGGACTGGTTAAGATGGACTGAACACACCGGGCCTCCCAAGGTCCCTCCCAGGCCATGATTGGGTCCCTTGGCCTGGCCTGCGCTCTCTTGCAATCTGGGACCCCTCTGGCATGTCGAAGAGCCGGTATTGGCTTGACCCCTGCAGTGAAGGACCCCACTGGTGCACGCATCTCGTTATTTTCTAGTAAGAAGAAAATAACTGGGCCTCTAGTTATTTTATAACAATGTGCATATCCATACTCTCCCCCGATTAGCTCATTGAGTTGTGTAATGTTCAACTGACTCTAATACCTGGCGTGATCCCACCACATAAAAGATAATGAAAGACTATTTCATAGAAAATACAATGAAAGAGGATTTTATTCCCCCAAAGTACAGGAATAAAATAGATGAAATAATTCATTTTAAAAGAAAAGTAGTAGAAGCCCAGCCAGAAGGCTCAGATGGCTGGGTCATTGACCACACACCAAAAGGTTCCTGGTTCAATTCCCCATCAGGGCATATAGATACCCAGGTAGTGGGTTGAATACCCAGTCAGGACTCCTGTCTGGGAGGCAACCAATCAGTTATTCTTTCACATAGATATTTCTCTCTTCCCCCCTCCCCTCTTCTCTCTCTAAACTCAATAAACAGTCTGCAGTCTTGGAGCCGCACTGAGTTGGTGGTACCCGAGGGCACACCAGACTTGCAGGAAAAGCATACCCCGGAGGAAGCTGAGGCATGACTGCTCTAGAACCAGCCTTCCATGTGCAAGTTCCTGGGCACTGTTGCCATGGTGATAGTGACTGTCTGTGTCATTATCTATCCACCAACAGTAAGAGAAGCTTTGCAGTCGAGATATTGCTTGACAGATGCAGTGGTTTCTGTTGGACACTAAGTACTATTTTATTTATTTTTTACTACAAATGATAGTAAAAAATAAATAAATAAATAATAAATATTAAAAATAAAATAAAATAAAATCAATAAACAGCCCTAACCGGTTTGGCTTAGTGGACAGAGCATCAGCCTGCGGACTGAAAAGTCCCAGGTTTGATTCCGGTCAAGGGCATGTACCTTGGTTGTGGGCGTATCCCCAGTAGGGGGTGTGCAAGAGGCAGCTGATCGATGTTTCTCTCTCATTGATGTTTTTAACACTCTCCCCCCCCCCCTACTTCCTCTCTGTAAAAAAAAAAAAAAAAAATCAATATATTTTTTTAAAAAGTCAATAAACATAACCTTGAGTGAGGATGAAAAGAAAATAAAGCAATAGGAAGAGAATAGAAGGAGGAAAAAAATTACAAACTTAAAGCTAAAAGGTTATTCACAAGAATGTCTCATTGTTAATTTAATTTTCCCTTAGACAACTACCTTCATTCAAACATTTATAGAATATCAATTATATTCAGAGGATCTAATTCATTGTTAGTATCAGTCTAAATAAAACATACAGTGAAACCCCGGTTCTTGAACTTAATTCATTCTTGAAAGCTGTTCAAAAACCAAATCATTTTTTCCTATTAGAAATAATGTAAGCTGAAACCGGTTTGGCTCAATGGATAGAGCATCGGCTTGGGGACTGAAGGGTCCCGGGTTCGATTCTGGTCAAGGGCATGTACCTTGGTTGCGGGCGTATCCCCAGTAGGGGGTGTGCAAGAGGCAGCTGATCGATGACTCTCTCTCATCGATGTTTCTAACTCTCTCTCTCTCTCTCCCTTCCTCTCTGTACAAAATCAATAAAATATATTTTTAAAAAAATAATAATAATGTAAATTGAATTAATCTACTCTACACCCACAAATGATTCCGTTTTAACCTTTCTTATATGCAGTATATGTCTAATGTACTGTTTAATCTATAAACACTTTAAAAGAAAAAGAACATGAAATGTAAGTGAAAATTTATAAAAAGAAAATGCGCAGTAAAAAATTACAATTTAGCCAAAACCGGTTTGGCTCAGTGGATAGAGCGTCGATCTGTGGATGAAAGGTCCCAGGTTCGATTCTGGTCAAGGGCATGTACCTTGATTGTGGGCACATACCCGGTGGGGGGTGTGCAGGAGGCAGCTGGTCAATGATTCTCTCTCATCGACGTTTCTAGCTCTCTATCCCTCTTCCTTCCACTCTGTGAAAATCAATAAAATATATATTTTTTTAAAAATTACAATTTAATAAGTAGCAACAAAAGCCATAAAACACAGAAGTATTCACAGCACAATTTCCTGAGATATTAATAATGTGAAATTTAGCAATAAACTGATGTATACTCGCACACACTCTTTTGTAGTCTGAGTGGGGGATGACTGATCATACAGGTATCAGCATGAAAGGGTTGTTGGGTTGAGAAATGAATTGTTCAAGATGGGAGATGTTCAAGAATCAAGGTTGGACTGTAATTAAAATGCAATGTTCATTAAAGAATACATTCTTCAGATCACAGTTGCCTCTACACTCTCCTCCACAAATGAAAATAACTAAGAGTTAAGAACACTTTTAAATTAGTAATTGTTTCAAAAACTCACCTCACAGGCTTTAATGTAAAAATTCTCACATCTTTGGTTGCAATGGCCAGAATGTGGTAAGACCTTCCCAAATTTGGAGCAAATGCAATATCATGGACAGGATCAGTAACTGTCATGAGGGTTTCAGCTTTTGCATACTTCCTAATGAAAAAACAAACAATTTTACATTAAAAATTCCAAAAATAAAAAATTCTTAAATCTACATGTTGACATACCTCTATTTTTATATTGCTCACAATAAATGTATATATCTGCAGTATGTAGTAAGTATGTCCAAGTCCTAAACACTTATATTGTGCATGTGACCCAATTTGGAAAAAGGGTCTTTGCAGATATAACTAAGAATCTGGGGATGAGAGCATCACCTAAATCCAATGTTGAATGTCCTTATAAAGAACAGAGAGGAAAGACATATAAAGAATATGAACATATGAAGAGAGGCAGAGATTGGAGTTAGTGGCCACACACCAAGGACTCCTGCAGCCACTAGAAGCTTGAAGACACAAGGAAGGATTTTAGAAGAAGCAGTCCTGACAACCCCTGGATTTCAGACTTCTGGACTCCAGAAATCTAAGAATAAATGTTTTAAGCCACACTTTGTAGTGATGTGTTATTGTAGCCCTAAGAAACTTATAAAACTTCTCAGGTTTCTTCTGTTGATTTTTTTAAATTTAATTTAAAACACTTTTAAGAAAAACTTAATTAAAATGAGATCTTGGCCGAAACCGGTTTGGCTCAGTGGTAGAGCGTTGACATGCGGACTGAAGGGTCCCAGGTTTGATTCCGGTCAAGGGCATGTACATTGATTGGTTGCGGGCACATCCCCGGTGGGGGGTGTGCAAGAGGCAGCTGGTCGATGTTTCTCTCTCATCGACGTTTCTAGCTCTCTCTCTCCCTTCCTCTCTGTAAAAAATCAATAAAAATATATTAAAATGAGTGAATTATTTTTTAAAAGGATAATTGAATTTCTTAAATATTTGAGTGTAAATAAAAAAGCAAAGCTGATAACAGGAATTGAGTGGGGGTTTATTAAGTGGTGATAAAGGAAGCTATTACATTATCCTTTCTATTCTATTTTTATATCTGCAAATAAAGAACAAGACAATGAAGGAGACAGCATATCGGATTTTTCTATTACTTCTTTCTGTCTTCAAATGGCTATCAGGGATAGAACTGAAGTAGTGTGTTAGAGAGGAGGTTATCTTCCACCACTCACCTCTGAAATACAGGGTGTGGCAACAGTAGGCTTACTGTTGTTTGTATGGAAAATAATAAAACAATTAGTAAATACAAGAATAAACTCTGTTTTCCATAATTACAACTGTAAACCTATTTTTACGTCACTGTATTGGTGTTTCCAGTATTCTCTACTTGGCCTTCTTTTCATCACAACATTCTTTCTGAAATATCTCCAAGCTAGTATGCACTTTGAGGTTCCTTCCTTGACCTCTTTTCACCCTATACTGATCACCTTGAACAATCTTACATATACCCTAGCTTTACTATGTGGTCCTGACTCCTCTTTTTGACCTTGGACTAGACATTTTACTTTATTGGTCTCACTTTCTACATTTGGAAAATGGTGCTAATATAAAAGCTACCTCCACTACCTACAAGATTAAAGTACTCTGTAACCTGCCGAGAGCTAGGGCGAGGGACCCCACCAGTGCACAATCAGGGTCTGGGAAGAACCAAAGAAGGGCTCCAACGCATGTCCTGCCCGTCTCACCTAGTTCCGATTAGCCAGACCCAGCAGCAAGCTAACATACCAGTCGAGTATCTGCCCCCTGGTGGTCAGTGCACATCATAGTGATTGGTGGTCATCTTCCACCACTCACCTCTGAAATACAGGGTGTGGCAACAGTAGGCTTACAGTTGTTTGTATAGAAAATGAATGGTTAGACACTTAGCCTATTAGGCTTTTATTATATAGGATAGTCTTATCACTGAACATGGCATTTCATAGGAAATTAATGTAATAAATAATACATAATTCAGCTAATAAATAAAGGAATAACACTTTTAAAAATTAAACATTTTTAAAAGCTAACGTTATTAAAATGCAATTTGGAACAACACTTAATGAAACCAGTACTGACCTGGTGTTTTCATTATATTCAAAAATCTGAACTTTGGCCATTGCATTTGGACTACTGTCATCACTTCCTACAGCTATCATGGGAGAATGAGCACGAGAGCTAGAAATGAAAAGCAAAAAATATTTCACATAATGATTAAATTATTATATTTAATCCAGCAGCTCTAGAACCTGCAAGTAAGCAAGACTGTGATTAAATCCCTGCCATATATTCAACACAGCCACACCTTGGGAGTGTGTCCTTGAGATTGCTCAGGGTAGGGATCATGGCTACCATCCTGTAGCATTGTATTTACCACATTTTATTACTGCTAAAAAAATAAAATAAAAATAATAAAGTAGCTTCTTTTTCCACAAAAGAAAATGTTTCAGGCATTCAGTAGATCAAAAACAAAACACCTAAAAGGTCTTCAAATTTTTCTTCCTAAAAGATTTTGTCATTAACTACGGAAAGAAAAGTACCCTTATGGTGATTAAATTCATGACAAAAAGATTTTAAGTTGCTTAAACAAAAAGAAGAAACTCCTCAAGAAGGCATGCTCTCATGCTCCCAAACGGCATTTTCTTCTCTAAACTAATTTTAAAAAGCAAAAAGATAAGCAATAAGAGAATGAACTCTACTAAATTCTAGGCTAAATTATTTATTTCTATTCAATAAAATATCTAATTACCTATATATTGATTTCCTTTGCCTCCCTAGGAGGAAACAAAAAAACACCCAACCAGAAAAACAAAAAGAAAAAATAATCCAAAAATATGAAGACAGTGTAAGGAGCTTCTGGGAAAACTTTAAGCGTACCAACATCTGAATTTTTGGGGTGCCAGAAGAGAGCGAGCAAAATACTGAAAACCTATTAGAAGAAATAATGACAGAAAACTGTCCCTACGTGGTGAAAGAAATAGACTTAGAAGTTCAGGAAGCGCACAGAACCCCAAACAAGAGGAATCCAAAGAGGACCACCCCAAGTCACATCATAATTAAAATGCCAAGGGCAAAAGACAAAGAGAGAATCTTGAAAGCAGCAAGAGAAAAAGTCAATTATGTACAAGGGAGTACCCATAGGAATGTCAGCTGATTTCTCAACAGAAACTATACAGGCCAGAAGGGAGTGGCAAGAAATATTCAAAGTGATGAACAGCAAGAACCTACAAGCAAGATAACTCTACCCAGCAAAGCTATCATTCAGAATTGAAGGTCAGATAAAGAGCTTCACAGATAAGAAAAAGCTAAAGGAGTTCATCAACACCAAACCAGGATTATATGAAATGCTAATGGGTATTCTTTAGGAAGAG